TCTGTATGATTCTTCCTATTCGCAATTCCTTTCTATTTCCGTTTCTATTCTTTTCAACTTGATCTTCTTAGCTTTCTGTTGCGAAGGTTTCTACTTCAGATTGGTGTTATATACTACTTACATCAGTCGACTTAAGTAAGATACACTACAGTAGTAGTCTTATGAGTAGTGTATCGTAGAAAAAGAATTTATTCTATCAAATACTCAAAAGTTTAAAAGTTATATGTATGAAAGTGAATAGCATCTTCAAACCCTAATCTTTCCGAATCTTGCTTATACTCTTACTACTTCTACCACTATGGCATTTGAATCGATAACTGCATCTCTGTGCTCATGTGGTATGGCAACTCGAACTGATGTACTTACGTACTTACGAAGTTCTAAGTTGTGACTGACTGATGTATGAAAGTGACAAATCACATATTAGTCTGAGATTCCCATATGATTGTTAGTGAAATGGTTAGTTTGGCCTCTCGTTTACTTCTTTCGTAATCAATCATTCATTCATTGAAACGAAGTTTATGATGGAGTTTTGTTCTCTGAGCTGGATGGCTTGGTCGTGGAGCTTTCATCGTCCTTCAGTTCTACCCGAATTTTGTGCTGATGATGCCGTTCAGAAGAACGATGAAAGCTCCACGATCAAACCATCCAGTTCAGAGAACAAAACTCCATCAAAATCATCCACCTGAGCTAGAAATCTTCTCCACCATCTCAAAAAACGAAGTTTATCCATAATAGTAATAAAATTCAACTAAAATTCAATTTAGATAATTGTGGTCCAGTTAGTTGACGAAGAAGTAGGTCAGTGGAATTTTAAGTAAATTAGAATTTGTTTATTTATTCTGTAATCAGTTAGTTGATTGATGTACTTGTGAATCCCTATTGGCTTTTAGGTAATTAAAATATATGTAAGATGTATACGCAGTCATTATGTAACCGTAAAATTTTCTGCGATGTAATGTATATTAGTCTACGAAATCGTTGACTTTTGGTGTAAAACGTTTCAATGGGTGAAAACTTCTGAATTAGAATCCGTGAAATTATTGTAACGCATGCTTGAAGACCTTAGTTGTCATTCGTGCTAGTGCAAGTGTATCAATCTGTTGTTTTAATTTAAATCTCTCGGTTTAACATGATTGTGACTGATACTTTGGCGTAGTTGTTGGTTTTCTATATCATAATGTCCAGGCGAAGGTACGTTAGCTGGAACTCGTCCTTTAACGTCTACCGTTTCGGATGATAGGTTGTATTGTAGAGCATTAAGACTAAGAGCACCAAACGTAATATCCGAGGGTAAAGTTGTATTGTTGACTGTTCTGGGAGTGACGACAAATAGCCAACATCTTCAGCAGTGCTACCTTCTCTTGACTGAAAGAGTAGGATTAGATACAGACGGTCCAAGAATAGCACGCTTCTCCCTGCCGTACGGATTTTTATCACTGGTGGAAAGATCAAGAATGTATATATCTGAGACACTAAAAACTACTTACAAAAAGTTCGTACTTGACCGACCTCAAGCACTTGCCTCTTAGGTTCTGCGGCTATACTTTCAAGCTGTCAAGACCACTCCTAACCCAGTTTTTCATTTGAGAGCGCCCAAGAAATATTTTCCTACGTCACACGCAACCAAGAAGTAGTACGAGACGCCTTTATTTTTTTAACAACATTTAGTTTCAGGTGAAACGTTTCGAATTCGCACTCTTCAGTTTTGGATGTTTACTTTTCCACTATCATTCATTGATTTTATGGCTTTGATGTGTTGTGGTAATATGAATCAATGATTCTTTATCCCAATTTCTACAATATTTGTGGCTTATTGAGCCAATTAATGTTATGTAGATTTTCTTGTGACATCGATCTACTGCTCTTCTCAATGTTTTGTTGGATCAAGTGGTGTTCTTTTTACGTACAGTTGAACCATACATTACAATATAAAGTGCCGTTTTTTGTATATCTGTTTTCCTAGTTGTTTAGCGAATTACGTAATCATTTGTGCTAGTACAATTCTATAGATTCCGAAAGTTGGTAATTAGAAGTGATTGTCACATATCTTTTGATCTAATTTCCATGTTTTCAACTCAGAAGCTATGTGCTAAGTCATGTACACAAACCTCACTTACTATTGATTGGTCTACTATAGTATATAGTTTTTTTCCATACTTCATTAGTTAAACTAATTTAACTGTCTTATATTTGGCAATCAAATGTCTAAATACTGAGTCATAGTTACATATAGTTACGTACTAGCGATCATCATCAAAGCATATTTAAAAATCCTTGTTAGAAAATGTGTCATGAGAGCCATTCCCATGGTAACCAGTTTATACACCATTCATATTCACGGTATGTTCATTGATTTGAGGTCAGGCTTTTCCAACTCCCCTCAGCTGACTTTCTGTATCCACCAATATGGCTAAAACATAGACTGTAGCGATTCAGCACAATCTTAATTCATTCAACCTGATCTGTAAGCAGTATTCACTCACCCCCAAACGTACAGCCGAAAGTGGGGAGAGTTAGCTCTTCCTCTCAAAATACTCTCACTTGGCCACGTGCATAAAATCACTGTCAAGGTATTCCAACTCACTGCCTTATCGTTTCGAGGTTGTTGTTTACGAAAAGAACAAAAAGAGTATAAATCTATTGTTCGTCACCGGCTACTATGAGATTGTATCTCTTGATGTTGTTCCATTGCCTTGTGGAATGAATTTTTAGGTGAAAGACTCCGAGTGCGGCACCCCCCTCCCCTAGAAAGCGTTACCTATAAAAATATTCATATATATATATATTAACGCATAACCTAAAATTTCAACACTAACGTTTTTAATAATAGTAGTAAAACAATGAATCATATTTTACAATGATTTAAACAAACAATAACACAGTTTTCATTTTGAAATTTTATTTATATTCGTTTTCGATTTTATTTTTTGTTTCTACCAATAGATTTATACATTTTCTTATTCTATACTATGTCTAATATGTAAATTACTTAGACCCTGAAATGTTTCTCTATGAGTAATTCATATTCGGTAATCATATGTTCTATGATAGATCATATACATATGCATATATATATATATATATGTTGACTAATCACCAAAGTGAATGGGTGACAGAGAGAGAGAGAGAGAGGGGGGGAAAGGAGGATTGAGAGAGTTGGTTAAATTAGTGTTGTCAAGTGTTTTTTTTTTCAATCGGAACAGGTGTTGTTATGCGTGTAGTTCTTTTTTTTTTTTCTCTCTCTCTCTCTCTCTCGAAAATGTATAATGCATAAAAATTTATTATGAGATTACATTTTGTTCAAGTTTTCTTTTCTTTTTGAAAATAATATTAGTTAAACAAATTTTCATTTGACCGGATATTGTATTAATTGTTTTTGATGTTATTATTATGTATGTATGAATGCTTTATCATTAATTGTTTTGTGTGTGTGTGTGTGTTATGGAGGGGGGGGTCTAGTCGTTACGGTAAATTGTTTCCATATTGATCGATATGATATTAGGATACTATACAAATCGTAGCTTATTTTATGTTAAGTTTCGAAAAATTATACTAAAGGACTGCAGTATTTGTCATATAAGAGTATGTCATAGGTGTCTTCGATGCATTGCTCGTATATCCTGAGACCACCGAGTAAGTAATACAGTTGTTAGGAAACGGGTACTAGGTAAGGATGGCAAATCGATTGATGAAGTAGTGAAACTTCATCAGTTCAGATAGCTGGGACATGTGTTATGTATGCCCAACCACCGACTGCCCCAACGTGCAATGTTTTATGGTGTAGGAGTAGGTTGGAAAAAAGCTAATGGCAGCCACACCAAAACATGGCACAAATCCATGAAGTCATTAACAAGTGGACTGAGCCATGTTGGTAGGTGAAGATAACCTGGTTGGTATCCGAGAGAGGATAGCAACTGATGGTTAGAGACCAGGAATGACATGGCTCAAAATCGTTTGCAATGGTGAAGTTGCATCCACTCTATATGTTCTACCAAATTCTGATCTTCTGAATTATTCATGTCACTTTCTTTTTTTTCTCTTTCCAAATTTATTACACTGGATTGTGCTCCTTGAATAACATCTTCAAACCCTTATCTTTCACATAATGCTTATACTCTTACTCGTTCTACCAATATGGGATTTGAATCGACAACTGCATCTCTGTGCTAATGAGGTATGGTAACTCAAACTGATGTACGTACATACGAAGTTGTACGTTGTGACTGACTGGCTTAAGTTCAATTACCTGATTGTGATAACTGGAAGAAAAAGTATGGAGATAACATTCGTGTTGTATTGACATCAGTGAGGTTATCGTTACAAACTAGGGTAACTGAATAGTTATGACAACTTTGTCTAGGATGACTCGGCAGCGTGCACTCATGAGTCCGTCAGGAGTCGAAGTCAAGACTATTAGACCTCACGATGAGCACTCGTGCATTGGGTCGCCTGTCATGACCGATGAGGTCCAAGATATATCATAGGTGAAAAAAATCACCAAAGACACTGAATGATAGCTACGCTATTATATCTGAGATAATTTAAATAAAAATAGTATATGATTGAATGGTAATATGACTTTCTAATGGTCGAACGCCTAGTACATAACCCATGTGCACCATTGGTTTGGAACGAGGGTTTTCCAACTTCCCTAGGTGGGCTCGCCGTGTTCACCAACCCGGTTAAAGTTCCGGATATTCGCTTTTCGTCCTCTCAATTTCATAAATAGCACCCCCGCCACGAGAAGCCAATGAGTAGGACTTTTCTGTCAGGGGATATATAGGCGTAGCCATGTGAGATAATTTCGAGAGGAAGAGCAGACTCTTCCTAATCTCGGCCATACCAGGGCTTTTGGGGCAATTAAACTTCTATTATATGCAAAATCATTAGAATTACTTACTGTGTTTTTCTTTTTTCTCTTGAAAATAATATAATCATATCCTTTCTTATTCTTATGATTGTTAATGTAAACTCTTTTTTTAATTTTATTTATTTAGGTCTCAGAAATTTCATAATTTCTTAAAAGCATCATTAACAAAAAGTGAAAAGAAAAGACCAACAGCTCAAGCTTTATTACGGGTATGTGATAAGAATGTAATTTACCTATAATATTGAATGATATCAACTATTAACTGAATTCATAAGTCAATTAAAGCTAGACAACCATGGAAAATCTAGAAATATTGGACGGTCGTTTTATCCTATTGTAGGACATTTCAGCCGTGCGCATCCACGATACCGCTTCTCGAGATTCGAACTCAGGACCTATCAGTCTCACGCATGAACGCTTAACCTATAGACCACTGAGCCAGCATACAACAGTTGTAATGTCTAACTTCAACTAATCCATGAAATAGCTCCACTGTCCATCATTGTCTCCAATGAGTTATTATCTCACAACAGACCTGGTTAAACTTCACTGGTCACGGCTTCTCAATAGATCTCCACCAAATATCTCTTGAAACCAGTCACATCTGGGATCACCGGGTAAGTAATAGTAAGGTTCGACGCAGGGTATTAGGGAATGATAGTAAATCAGTTGATGAGGTCATGAATCTTTATCGACTGAGATGGTTTAGCCACGTGTTACGTATGCCTGAACATCGATTACCACGACGCGCAATGTTGACTAGTGTAGAAGATGGTTGGAAGAGAGTTAGGGGCGGTCAAACCAAAACGTGGCATCAGTGCTTGAAGTCACTAACTTCTAGTCTGAACAATATTGGAAGATGCAGACTACCTGTTTGGGGTCCGTGTGACTATCGTAACCAATGGTTGGAGACGCTGGCTGACATGGTTCAGAATCGATCACAATGGCGTAGGTGTATACACTCTTTATCTTCCCTTAAACCTTGAGATTAAAATTGCTTCATAACTTTCTTCCTTCCTATACTATATCCTTATATACAACCTTTCTTTATATACTACCACCACCACTAAATTAATTACTTCTATGAATCCGGTGTTGTTCTTGTTGTGCTAACGAGGTGTGGCAAATTGGACTGATGCATATATGTGCCTGATCCTACGTTATAGCTAACTGACTGAAGTCAGTCACTTGTGAGCATATGTTGATTAATATCAGAAGGGAATTTTGTAGAGATATTAAACTGTTAATAATCACATCCTAATAATACTAATGCTTATTTTCATATTTAATCTACTTTGCTTTTCAGCATGAATTTGTTAATCAACCACATTTAACTAGATTATTAACATTGAAATTATTAGAAACTAATCGTAATCCAAATATAACTAATAATCGTTTATCTATACATGGAAATAATAATAATAATCATTCAACAAATCAACAACAACAACAACAAACAAAGATAACTCATATAAAAAAAGAAGAACAATTACCAGAAGAATATTCTGCTTTATTAGTTGGACGACCAGATTATCCTATGATAATTAATAATAAATTATCTATACAACATTCGAATGAACAATATAAAGTAAATTGAATTTTTTTTTGTGTTATTTCATATCATTTTGTTTCTATGTAAATAGTCTCTATAACAATCTATATGTACATTTTGTGGAGTCCAGTTTAACGTGTGTTTCGTCTTATTTGGGACTCATCAGCTGCATCTACCTGCATCTCAGAGTTGATGTTCACACTGGGACTCAATTCCGGTACTGTTTGTCTCAAATGTTATCGCGTTATCCACTTAGTAAAGAATACCAAGTGAATTTAAACTTTACCCCATTGAACGAGCAGGTGGCTATCAGGACTCGGTGGCGTTTAGAGCAAATGGTATTGGTTTCGTAGTCCTAAAGTGAATATCAACTCTGAGGTGCAAATATATATATATATATATATATATATATATATATATATATATATATATATATATATATATATATATATATATATATATATATATGGTTAACGAGTCGCAAGTAGGACGAAGCGCATGTGCTTGATTTCACTGCTAGCCACTATCCATATTCGCTTATAAGGCTTATGAATTAAGGCTATATCGAGGCAATACACACAGTATGCACATATGCTAATAAGAGACTGATCAATGGGAAGATTCAAACAAATAATACCAAATGAATTCAAATATAGGTAAATTTTAAGCAAAGATAAACAGTGGCTAGCAATTAAATCCAGGACGTTCATTTCGTTAGCTGAATCTGTCAACATCTTGGAGTTGATATTCTTTTTGAGACTCAATTCCGGTACTGTTTTTGCCTCAAATGCCATTGCATTATCTACTGAACTACTCAGCTCTTGGTTTGTGTAATAGAGTGAATTTTAATTCATATCTATCAGTTGTTTGAATCTTTCCATTGATGTTTATGATTATGATTTATCATAATCGACTTCTCTGTTAGCCATCATCCATCTTCTCTTAAAATCCCTGTGATTTGATGTCAATATTGTGGCAATCCGCACAAAATCTATATATGCCAAAAGTGATTTAGCAGTTATCCGTATTATGATAGCTATGTTGACGCATATTAACACCAATGTATCACTCCTGTCAATTAGATGAAAGTAGTTTATACACAAACTGGATAACGGGGGGGGGAGCGTTTTCTTATGTTAGGCATAGAGAATCATTCATTAGTTTAATCTATTTGCTCTCACATTGTTTCATATACTCAAAATCCATTCCTAGTAACTGTACATCCTCATTGAGAAGAAAGCTTGTTGTTTTTTTTTAAAAGACATAACATCTATCATTAAGTTATTCATTTAAACTGATAATCATTTGTTCAAAAAATCAAACAGTCAGTTAAAATTATTGATTTTTAAATAATCATTTCTATTCCCTTTTATTACTACTGTGGTGTGGTCTACTTATATCCAACATAAGTAGTATATGGTGATGGTTATACATAGAATGTATTTTGACAGAAGATCGATAAGGAAAGAATTGGAATGAAGCGCAATTGGCAGGAAAATGCATAAACAATGAAATTAGAGAAGATGAATTGATATTTACAGAAGGAACAGAGAGGATTGAGACTATTAATTGTTTGCTGTATGGTTATCAGAATTTAGTGAGATAGTCCGTAGTTTGTGCCTTAATACATCCAGTCGTCCTCAACCGGTGTTCTGTTCACTACACTACTACTAGTACCTGATAAAGTATTTTAAAGCGATATACTATCTCACACATAACCTTATCTATCCATATATCTGTGATCAATAACTATATACCAAAACATTATAGTAAGATGTTTTTTACAATGTTTCAAGATGAGGTATTATTCTGCTTGATGTTGAATATATATTCGAATAATATCTCTAAATTTTTTAGGATCGTACACTTGTTCGATCTCAGAATGTAAGTGCACGCACGCGGTCATATCTGTATGTATGTCATTTCTTTTTGTATGTATGGATCGTCTATCTACACTGTGTTCTTTGTGTAATGAACTCTGCTTTATGATGTTTGTCTGTTGATGGGTACCTTTCTAAGTGAAAGGAATCGGGCCTAAAAATACACATGTATTACTCGAATTAACTTTTGAAGTGTACTGTTACTGCTTATACTTAATTACGTCTTTTTGAAAGTTACGAAATATTACATCCAATTGTAGTTCATTGCTTGTCGTTATATTACTACATGGGTTTTCATTTTTTGTGTATGTAGTATGCACGCATCACTTGTTTACATATATACATATGTACTTAAAGATGGTATACATGTGTGTGTGTATAACATTGCACATGTATTTACGCTTCATTGTAGCATGTTAGTTAATTTTTGTATATATCCATCCATCTATGACAACTATCTATGTGCATATCTTTATTACATTTACTTAATCCTTAATCTCTATGACATTTTGCTTGATTCAAAGCTAAACTGCTATTTAACTATGACTATTAATGGTATCATAGTTCTACCATTAGTTATTACTTTATGGGCTATGTGTATTCTGACTTTATTTTAAACTTATCACTAATGAACTGGTATCTAATGCCAACGTTGGTCAAATAAAGAAAATGGGCTAGAAAATTATTCCATTGTAAACTTTTTTTTGTCGTATTTTTTGTGTGTGAATAAAGCCAAAACAACAACAATTGAAGCAGAATTCATTCTTATTAACCGCTTACAAAACCATTGATGGTATCAAGATGTAACATTGATGTGTGATGTAATATAAAGAAATTGACATGATGATAGAAGGGATTAGAGGTAAACAAAGACGATCAATAATCCCTACAACTATATACTTATATATATATATATATATAAATATGCGTCTGTGCAAGAGCAAGTATAAAGTCATTTGGAAATGAAATTGAAAAAGCATAAGAGAGTGAGTGAGGTAGGAATTAAATAAGGCACGCCAACAGGTAAGATATGTTTTTTCATAGTTGAAATCATGAGTCAATTGAAGCTATTATGGGACTCCTCAACAGTGCACATCCACGATCCCGAACTCGCGAGATTCGAACCCAGGACCTACCAGTCTCGCGCCAGAACATTTAACCGATAGACCACTGAATCGGCATCCGACGGTGTTAATGTCTAAGTGAGATATGTTTTGTAGAGGTTGTGAAGATTTTACATAAGATTACTGAATTTAAAAATTGATTAGATAGGTTACGTAATAATTGAGTAGAATTTGAAGAATTCATAAAATGAAATGCATGAAAACCGATGACTGAAGAGATAATTTTGTTGTTCATGAAACAAGAATTAGTTTGGTGAAGACCACATCATAAAATCATCATAATCATGTTAATAATAAAGAATGATAGAGATTTACCAAGATAGTGATAAGTTGACTTTTGTCTCTTTCTGGATATATTAATCAGGTTTAAGTACTTTTTTGTTGCTTCGGCAAACTGGAGAGACAGAGTTTTTGGAATGAGGGTTTTCCAACTCCCCTAGGTGGACTTTCGGTGTCCACAAAACGCCGGATATTCGCTTATCGTCCTCTCAATTTCGTAAACAACAGTTATGCTACGAGAACGCAGTGAGTAGGACTTCCCTGTCATAGGCTGTATACTCGTGGCTGTATGACAGCATTTCGAGAGAGAGGGCGGGCCCTCCTCACTTTCAGCCTTACCAGGGCATTTGCGGGCAATATGTCGGCATTTACTTGACACCGAACATACCATTGACATCTCTCATGCTTTCAAAAGTATTAACAGACGAAGAAGTATGGTTTTTCTCCGTTCTGTTGAAGAGATCGCGATATTCAAAAAGACACGGTATTAAACTTATTACTACCCTGGTAATCCAACTGTTTTTGTGTTTGGTTATTAGTTTTATTCTGTTAATATTTAGTTTATATTATATTCCTCTCCCATTACTAAATTCTTAAACTACCCTTTCACTCACACATTTCCGCTCATTTGATTCTCTTAAATTATATGAACTCTTTAAATACTATTCAATAATTACGTAACTCATCGGTTTCTAATTCCATGAATCCTTTATTATCTCATACAATTTATCTTATCTATCTCTGAACTCCATTTAACTATTACACAACCCATCCTTATTGTTTCTTTGATTAACCCCTATCCTGTTCTTGCACAATATAGTTATCATTGATAACCTTTAGTCATTCCAATCCTTTACAATCACTTATGTCAATTGTTCTATACTATTTCTTATCTCAATGCTAAAATTCTAATACATATTTGATTGTAAGCAGCTGACAAGAAACTATGAATTCATATTATTCTGCATTAATATTTGTTCTGGCCTTATTTCAATTCATAAAAGGAACTAATTGCATAAAATAGAATTTACCTTGTACTTCATTTTCCATAGTAAAATTTGTGTCATTGTGTGCTTTGCTAAACTGATTGAGTAGGTATATGCTTATGATTGTTGTAGACAAGAATTGTGCCATCAATACATTTACAATAGAGTTAATTTTTCTTCGATTAAGCTCCGTCTGTTCCACGCTCTTTATAAATTTGTCAGCCAGAATAGGCTCCAGAGAGCTAACCATAGATACTCCATCAATTTGGAATGTTTGTGAAGAGAGATGATATGTCAAACGATACTATAAATCTATTAGAAGCTTTTAAGCAGCTAAACGTTTGTACGAATTCGAAACTATCCTTCAAACTATAGGGAGCTAGTTTCTTGCTGGCTGGTTCCAAACACCAACAGCGGGCAAGTTTGGTCATAGATAGTATTGGTTTTATCGAGATGATGTAATTTGTATATTTTAAGTAAAGTAATTATGATCCTTTCAGTTTAAATTCATTGTACGTACGATTATCGATTAAATTCTTCCGACTTTTCGAATTCCATCTTTAAATGACCTCTTAACTGACCTTGAATATATATATAGTTATTATTGGTAATCTTTGTCATTTTAATTCTTTCTATCGTCAATGTCAATTATTTCACACTCTGTTGTACTTCAATGTTACATTGAAATACCACTAATGACTGTAAGCAGCTGATGAGAAACAACGAAATATAATAAATTCATAATGGAGACCAATTGCATGACATTTCTGAATCGTTTTTCATATTATGTAGTATAGTATGTTATATAGCATTATAAATGATATTGTAATGTGTATGCTTGATTTGTCGTTAAGGTAGTTCTCTTTATGACACTGGAACCACTGTTCATTGGTTTTGGGTATTTGAACTTTAATCACTTGGGGTAAACTATTTTAGGTTTTGCTTAATTCGTTTCTCTCTAATTACCTGAGTTATATTTCATGCATTTTATGTACACTTAGGAAATATGCTAAATTGCCAAATTAAGCAAAACAGCTAGAATGTTTATTCTGAATTTCACTAAGATTGAACACATTTTCCTTATTTTGCTATATAGTTTTAACATTTAGTGCTCATTTATTATTAGTAAATGACGATAAATGTATCTGTTTGGTTATACACTGGTGTAAAAGTTGAAATATTATTCTTACCTGTGAAAACAGGCCCTTATTTGTAATCGAATGCTGATTCATAAACTAATATTGAGTCACATTTATATGAAACATGGAGATATCACTTAGTTATTTGAATCACAGTCGTAACAAAAGGAACTTAGATCCTATGGTTCCGGGCTCAGTGATTGCTATGAATCATTTTTGTTCAATACTATTGGGTTTTTCAAGGCAGACAACATAAACCTTACTCGACTTAGGTTTTATGCTTGTCATCACTAGGTTAGTAACTGATGTTCTCTGTGGAATTCAAACCTAGTTCTGAAAATTTGATACTGATTCTTTACTGCCGATCGAGCTATAGATTCAGAATTTCCTGCTTACTACGTCCAGCCCCTTAGCATTTCAACATAATGCGCAAAATTTCGTTTTACTCAGACTAGTGGTCACATAGTCAGTCAATCAGTTACAACGTGGAACTTCGTACGTACATACGTACATCAGTTCAAGTTGCCATACCGCATTAACTAGAGATACAGTTGCCAATTCAAATCCCATAGTGGTAGAATTAGTAAGAGTATAAGCAGTAATCGCAAAGACTAGGATTTGAAGATGTTATTGAAGAATTATAATCCAGTGAAATAAATTTGGAAATAGAAGAAAGGTCGTTAAGATCATTATTAATCCAACTTCCTTTTCAAATCCTCAAGAAATACCCTTCCATGGTGTCGGCAGCCGGGAAGTGATATTAGCTCTCATACCCGTAACAGGAGTCACATAACAGTTTGGTCAGCATTGAAAAAGTAAACGAATAGGACCTCGGTCACTATTTAGTGATCAATCAGCTGTAGATACACACTGGTCTATGTTTCTTCCTTTGATAAAAGTATATTTTAGAAAATAAAGCTCTAAAATAACATACATACTCGCCTTTCTCTGCTGACTTCCGATATTTCAGAAATTTCTAACTACTATCTTATAATAAGAGTATGAACACTCAACAACTCATTTTTCTAGCTTTCCATCTTGTATCTACCCTTCTAATTTAACACTAATATAAAGTTTATGACAAACCAATTAATCATTTCATATTTCTCTACTGTAATACAAATGGTTTCTCAAGGTTTCATTTCTATCAATTTAATCATCCAGACTGTATAACAAAAGCATCTTATTGTATATCGATAATTCGTAAGTTTTGTGTCGTTTGCTCTCTCTTCTCCGGATCTCATGAAGTCATTAAGTCTGTCAATGCCCTCGTTATAACTTCATCTAATAATCCAATTATACAGGGGGTAATATCGCTCTGTGATATTTACTTCTCGATGATCGATCCGATTGGTAATTTTCGCTATTCTAATTTAAACATTGATTTGTTTTACCTGAGCTGACCATTTCATAAATCTTCATCTAGTTCAACACGTCTGTCTGTATATGTGTTTTGCTATAGTAGGACGAATATTGGAGAAGGTGAAACTTTCGGAGCTATTTTCAGATTACTATTATTTATGCCTTTATGTTATAATTAGTAGATAGATTCATTGTTACATTTCTATGTTCCGGTTATTATAGGCTTTCAGCGAACCTATTGTTTGCTCCACCGTCTTCTGCGTATGTTGTGATTGTGTTTGTAATACAATTTTTTTATTTGGTGTTCTCTGTGGTCTGGAATTTCCACTATCTTGTATGAGTTTTGTGTGATAATTGAATGGGTACAATAGAGAACTAATCTGTGTTCTATCATCAATTTATTGGCCTCTGAGTTAGAAAAGGCTCAAGTACCAATCAGCGTTGAGGTCTTTATTTTTATTCGTTAGTCAGTGTATGAATTTGTGAAATAGGTCATCGGTCCGACTAATAGTATAATACTTGCTATCAATTAGAAACCTTTAGCCTTAGCAATATCATCGAGTTTCTCAAGATACAACATATTTGGTTTTTCTTTATGACTAAAATATTGTTCTTACTATCGTGGTCGATTCATGGACTGAAGATCGTACACTGACTGCCAAGTATTTTGATTCGGACCTTCCGTGTTCACCTATAACATTTGTTTTAATTGTCGAATATTTGTTAATGTATGAATTCTATAATATCTACTTCTCATTCTTTCAATAAGGGCAGATAAGGAATAAGATATCCTTACAACTTTAATGGTACTTCTTCAGTTTTTCAGTAATTGTTGGCTGTGAAAACATTTCATGACAACTCGTAAGTACACGTAGTCAATGAGAATAGATAGTCAAATAAATCTGTAACTGAGAAATTAAAAACAATGAATACATATTCGGAAAAGTGGTAGTTCAAATGTTTTATTAGGTCGCTAAAAAAATTACATCTAATGACAAATGAATGATTCAGTATTCGAACGTAAACCATTAGAAACTATCAATAATTCTGTTTCCTATCATACTATTTTATATAAGACTAAGTTGTATTATCTAACTGTTCAAATCCAAATAATGAAAACTAGATTTAAACTTATAAATTTACCTTCATGATCAATACTGACATCACTTAGAAGTTTAAGGTTCTCAAATTGTATGAAACATTATCAACCAGTCATTCAACTGTTTTTATTTAGATAGAGAACACCTATTGTAGTGTGGGTTACTGATATCCAAATAAGTAGTATATGGTGATGGTCAGGCATAGAATGTATTTCAGTAGAAGATTGATAAAGAAAGAAACGAAACAGAATGCGATTGGTATGAAAATGCATGAACAATGAAATCAGAGAAGATGGACTGATATTTACAGAAGAAGCAGTCAAGATAGAGAATAGATTGTTATTTTGCAAATTAACTGTTTACTACTGTATGGGTATCAGATTTTAATGAGATAATCTATAATTTTCGATTGTCCCCACCCGTGTTCCCATTCAACTGTTTATATAGAATAATAGTTTAACTTATTGATTGTGTTGTGTTTCAGTTTTGTTTAGAACTTACCTGCCTATTTTATATACATACTTTGTTTCATCGCAACTCGCTGCTAGGCTACATTCCAAAAGGAATGGAACTTATCGTTTCAAAATATCAGGGAAAATGCAGATACATCCAGCTGACGAGTCCCAAATAGGACGAAACGCGCGTCCTGGATTTCACTGCTAGTCACTATCCATTTTTGCTTATCAGCAAAAATAGTTTGAAATAACAGCTAGTGATGATCTTGTTATTATCATTATTACTTAAACTGTATCCTTCAGTGTTTATCATTGTTTAATAATTGTTTGTTAGAATTCTTGCTATCATCTATCTATTCACCTTGTTGTCATTTGGCTTAGTGCGTTTTATTTTTTCGATGTTTAGATGACGAATTCCTTATTGTTGTCATGTCGTTTATGTATAAGAGAACATTTAATTTAGTTATACACCAAGATGGATATATATGAATATGGTGTGTGTGTGTGTATGAGAGAGAGAGAAGAGTTAACTGTAATACATATTGTTCCCCCCCTAAATATGCACATTCTCTTGAATTCATTCCACAATTGTGCTTATCATCGATATTCTTTGTGTTACAGTTAAACTGGAATTTTCCTCCTTTTTGTTATTGCATAGCATACTAACTTTTACTTATTACCAATATTTTGGCTTGTATTTTCATTATCCATCCTCTTTTATATCTGACTGATTCATTTTAACATTATCATTGGCATGCTATCTTTGTTTGTTTGTTTTTGGCGTGTAAAAAATCTAAATTTGTCAGTAACTGAATTGTCATAGTTGAAATCATGAGTCAATTGAAGTTAGACCACCATGGAAAACCTGGAAGCACTGAACGGCCGTTTCGTCCTATTATGGGACTCCTCGGGAGCAGTGCGCATCCACGATCCCGCACTCGCGAGATTCAACAATTATGGATCTTTGTTTAAGAAGAAATTATGTTAAATACTCCTTATATTTGCTTACTTCGCAAAGAAAAAAGGTTCGTCGAATGTTCTTTTCTCCTCTTTTTCTTTAAATACTAATCTTCAAAAATTATTTTTCCTAGGTACCTCAAACATCAGTCGATAATCAATCCTCATCATCATCTACTATTATTTCATCATCTGACATAAAACGTCCTGTTTCTTCAACACCATCAAATCGTCCAGAACCATTAATCAAAATGCATACACCATGGCAATCACAACAAATTAAATCTGATCAATCTTCACCAATTAATTTATCGAAACCAACTACAACTATTGCTGAAGTCATTGTACAAAAATCATCTATTATTACCCCTATGGAACGTATACAATCAGCTAGACCTCAACAATTTCTCATTGAACATTCAATCATTAATGATGGTAATGCTTTAAATAATAAACTTAATATTGATAAAACGAATTCACATCATCGTCACCATCCATCTACATCGAAATCAATTTTAGAAGAGATTCGTATTATGGATGAATTGCCTACACCATTTCCTGCTTATGTTGCATCAGCACCAACTGCTACACCAGCTCTTAAACCGCCTGGATTAAATTATCAATTAAATAATTCTACATCAAAACATGCTGAAAATATTATACAGAAAACCCCTATATCATCATATTCTCCTGGTGTCAGTCAACTATTGCATACTCAAACAACCACCTATGATTTATCGTCGACTACAGTTACTGTTTCACATAAAAATCATCAACATTTACAACAACAGCAGTATCGTCGATCCTCGTCGAATAATTCGTCTAGCATTTCTTCTGCTTCTACATCACCACGTAGTTCATGTTCATCAAGTCAACTAGATTTATTAGATCCGGTGTCTACTGATCTGACTTCAGGAAGTCATCAAACTACTATTCTGTCGAATTCCGATTCGTCATCTCCTACTTCACGAGATTCTGTAACGTCATCGTCATCAACTTCTTCATCAGTTAGCGCGGAAGCAGCAGTTGGTGATAACGATTTGAATGAGAACGATGATGCTAATATTCTAATATCAGCTGCTAATGTTGAACATAAATCTGATTTTCTCGGTGTTGATGATGATGCTGAAGAAGTGTTTCTGAATGAAGATAAAGATTTAAAAAGTGTAGATAAACAACAAGATGAAAAAGTAGATACTGAAAACTATAATCATCAAGAGTATTTGGCAATTACTGAGCATACCATTATACAAGATTCATTGGAAGCACGATTTTTACCTATTGATTCTGAAGTAAGTTGCTTAGTAATACTATTTTAGTAGTGAATCAATGTTTTCTTAACTGTCATATATACCCAGACCAAGTAAATTCCACAATGAGATCCTGACCTAGGTGTTTTATTCTCACTTCTCTTGTTTATTTATTTTTATTTGTTTGAACACATAATTATTGGTACAATAGGGCACCGAATACATATGCACCACACAAGTCACTTGATTTGTGTGTGGGCTATGTTACTGGTCGAGTGTCGAAACTGAAACAAGTGGTTTTCTTAGGGACCACACCCAGAGCATTTGACGTGAAAGTCTAATCCACAAGGCAGTAGAGCGATGTCAGGAGATGCAGTCACATATTAAACGATGACCAATAATAAGTTCATACTCCATTTGTTCCTTCAGAATCCTGAAGTCCATTTGGATGATTTATTTGGAATGAAAGTCAACCAACTCCTCTGGGTGGACTCGCCGTGTCCACCAACCCGGTTAAAACTCTGGACATTCGCTCTTCGTCCTCTCAATTACGCAAACGATAGTAATGCCGCGAGAACTTATTGACTAGGGCTTCTCTGGAAGTGGCTGTACACGCGTGGTCATGTGAGTGCATTTTGAGAGGGAGGGTGGACTCTCCTCACCCACGGCCGTACCTGGGTATTTGGGAGCGATTCCCACCACTCTAACTTTAGTTTGGTTAATTAATGCTATTATTAACTTTTACTCATCTATATTCGTTACTGGTTTAGATATCTGTGGTGTAATTAGTTTAATTACTCCATTTTTAATTCTCTATTCAATGATCAATTATTCATGATCAAATATAGATATTCTCATGTTGTTATGTATCTATCTATCTATCTATCTATCTATCACTTATGAACTTCATTTATGTATGTTACGATTGTTTCAACTTCTAGTTTGTTAATTTTTATAGATTTGTTTCAAAGAGGGGAATATTAATCAATCATTTTTGTCAGATCAATCCACTTGATTATATATTGATTATTTAGTTCATACTCTTTCTTTCCGATGAAATGGATTCGAAAGATAATTGAGTTATTATATAATAGATATGAGATTAAATGGTTCAAAAGTTAGATTCTACTAATTGACCTTAGTACTTCAATCAGTCAAGAGACGTATATTCTGACAAATATATTCATCACTTCATACTGTTACGTCACAAGTAAACGAGAAATTATCAAAATAATAATGTGATCAGTAATATTGAACAAGGTTAAATATATAAAAACTTTCGTCTAAATTAGAGCGAATAGTTTCACAGTGTTTGAGCGCCGAGTTGATGTAAGACATTAATTAAGAATATAATATTTGTAAAATCTCAGCGAATGCATTTTTAGTAAATTCACCGTTTCATCTAGCAATCTGGTGCAAGCTTTTTCAAGGACTTTACGTGTCCACCAACCTGGTTAAATCGCCGCACATTCGGTTTTCGTCTTCTCAATTTCGTAAACAACAGTAATGAGACGAGAAGTCAGTGAGTGGGACTTCCCTGTCAGAAGCTATATACACGTGGTCATATGAGAGTATTTTGAGAGGGAGAGCGAACTCTTCCTACTCTTGGCTGTACCAGGGCATTTGTGGAACATTCAAGACAATCAAAAGACTTTTCATGTTTTTACTACTGCTTATACTCTTACTACTTCTATCACTATGGGATTTCAATCGACAAATGGATCTATGTGCTAATGTGGTATGGCAACTCGAACTGATGTATGGACGTACAAAATTCTACGTTGTATATTTATATCTGTAATCAGTTTTACAGTTAAAAAAATTTTCAATAATTTCTTTTTATTCAGTTGCTATTTTATTTTTCTTTATTCAAAATAAAAATAAAAATTGAAATTTTTCTAATAAATCAGTTGCTATATGTATATTTTTTCAAAGAAAAAAAAAATCAATTTAATCTAAACTTTCCACCACCCCTCCACCTCTTTTATCAGACTAGATTTCGTTTCTTTTAACCGCCCCCCCCCCTCTCCAATGTTCATAATTTTTTTTTTTAAAAAAAATTCTTTTTTATTTCGGTAATTATTTATTAATTATCTCATATAAATAATTAATCAAATAATAATTTTCAAAGTAAAAATTATTTTCCTAATTAATATTGACATAAAATGTGAATAAATAAAGTGGATAGTTTTTTTTTTTTTTTTTTTTTTTTTGCAATCTGTAACTTGGTGGACTCTTGTTATCCTTTTTTGGTGGTGGTTGTGGTGATGATGATGTTGAGAGATACTTTCAATTCAATATTCGGTAGGATTTGTTAATTTTGACTATCTGATATAATCTAGATGATGATCAGATATATTTTCGAAGTGAAATATTGATTTATCTAATATTATCAGAACAGGGATTTGTGGAGGTTTTAGTAATTTTATATAGTTGAAATCATGATTTAATTGAAGCTGGATCACTATGAAAAACCTGGAAACACTGGACGGCCGTTTCGTCTTATTGTAGGACTTTTCAGCAGTGCGCACCCGCAATCCTGCCTCGTGAGATTCGAACTTTTTGACCCGTCAGTCTCGCAAGCGAGCACTTAACCGATAGACCACTTAGCCGGCATCCGATATCGTGAATGCGCACTGTTGAGGAGTCACACAATAGGACTAAACAGCCGTCTAGTGATTCCAGGTATTCTATGGTGGTTTAGCTTCAATTGATTCATGATTTCAACTATATAAAATTATCTAAAATTAGTTAAAAAGTAGTGATAACGATAATGATTCTTATTAATTTTATAGTTATATCAAAGTACTATCTAATTACGATATTCTATACTTGATTTTTAAAAATTAACTTTTGTTGAATGCATATCCAACCACTATCTACTTCGTCGGTCTATACTATATGTTATGGTAGTGCGTTGAAAGAAAGCTAGTATTAGGGCAAATTAAGATATGTAACTGGTCCATAAAGTTATTGACAATTAAATTGAAGCATAGTAATAAGTGTAGACTATCTGATTATGGTCCTCTTTGTTATTGTCATCAATGGTTAAAGACTATAATTGATATGGTTTATAATCTTTCTCACTGGTGTGTTATATCCGGATTAAGAATAAGTGAATAGTAACTGTTAGGATCTATTTATGAACTGTTATTATATATATTCTCATTGTATAACTACAGTATATACATATTCATATTTCTTTTATTATAAGCTTCATTTTGACCTATTGACTACTATTCTGCGATTTGTTATCCTTAAGTTTTTCTTAATTTATTAGTAACCGTCTCTCACAATCACAGTCACATTTTGATATGATATGGTCTGGTTTGTTTATATATAAAACCCAGTATGTTTAAAATATATGATTCGTATAGCGGAGGTTGATATATTGGTGTTCTAGTCTGAACCGGCTGGATTACGAGAGAGGTTACTATCTTGGAGGACCAGTTGAAACTTTAGGCTGCTTGTACTAGTTTATTCGTCATTAGTCTAGTCGTATAAGTCGGTGTCTAATTAACGACCTTATCACGTGTTATAATAACCTGGGCATAAGGACATAACATTGTAAATGCAGTTACTCCTTATCTTTCTGAGTACTGAAATCTTCTTATACTGCTTTTTCTTTTCCTATACGTAATATTTTTTACTATTACAAATATTGTTCATACTACTTTGGGATTTATCTTGAATATGGTATGAGAACTTCAACCGATGCGCATATGTCAGATTCTATCTTGCATATAACTAACTAATTGAAACATATGGTATTAAATGATGCTAATATTATTCAAGGTTTATATACTTCATATTGCTAAGTAGAACTAATGTTCCACAGTGAATGTTCTCTTTAACAGTAGTTCATTCATTAATAAGAACACTCTAATATCATTATACACTTTCATCTGAGGTTCTGTTACTTTTAAAGTAATTATATTTACCTATTTTACACACATTCACTCTTATTACTATGATTATTACTATATCTTGTTGTCCTTACGAAGTATGGCCAACTTGAACCGATGCATATATATGTCCACGATCCCACCTCGTGAGATTCGAACCCAGGACTTAACAGTTTCACGCCAGAACACTTAATCAATAGACCACTGAGTCGAGCATATATGTGCCTGGTACTACATTGTAGCTGACTAACTGATATCTAAAAATAGTTTCTTATCTTTGATGTAGACTTAATAATCAAGTTTTGAGTGCCTAATAGATAATTCATAGACAAACTGATATCCTTCAGTCAGTTATAACATTTAGTTATGTTGTCTTTTGTATTAACAGTTTATGCATAAGGATATCGTTTTTTATGAAAAAAAAACCTATTCACTTATCCCTTAATGATCCTTTTGTCTTTAATTTTCAATCAAGAATTTACATTGATAGTTTGTTCTCATGACCATCTATCACTTGTTCATATTGTATCATTGAAGCCCATCGATGGTTATATCACTGAATTCCTCGTTCATAATAAGTTTTACTTTGTATTCCTGTGTTAATTTATATATTTTAGAAAGTGATTGTTTCATCATAACATTGTTTTGTATTTTAATTGTTGAGTTTTTGAATCAATTTAAGCTAAACCATGGAAGACCTAAAAGTAAATGTTGGTTGTTTCGTCCTAGTATGGGACTCCTCAGTAGTGCACAACCATGATCCTGAATGTGGGATTCGAACCCAAGACTTATCGGTCTCGCCCTCGAATCAGTCAGTCAGTCACAACGTAGAACTTCGTACGTGCGTACATCAGTTCGAGTTCCCATACCACATTAGCACAAAGATGCAGTTGTCGATTCAAATCCCATATTGGTAGAAGTAGTAAGAGTATAAGTATTATGTGGAAGATAAGGGTTTGAATATGTTATTGAAGGAGTATAATCCAGTGTAATAAATTTGGAGAGAGAAAAAAGAAAGTGATATGAATAATTCAGAAGATCAGAATTTGGTAGAACATATAGAGTGGATGACACTTCACCATTGCAAACGATTTTGAGCCATGTCATTCCTGGTCTCTAACCATCAGTTCCTATCCT